AGAGAGAGAGAGAGAGAGAGAGAGAGAGAGAGAGAGAGAGAGAGAGAGGAGGAGATTGAGATTTGAGATGGATCGATGGTGAGGGAAGGGAAGGAGAGAGGAAAAAAGCTTTTGGATATACTAAATCTGAAATTTTGGAAATAATATTTTAATATTTATTATTTAATATTAATTAGTTACTGTACGGTACGGGATCATAAATCTCATACCGATGTCGTGCCAAACAGTAACGGGATGACACGGTTTCATCCTGTTTAAGCATCAACACCAAAAGGTTTGGCATGAATTTGATACGGAATAGCACAGTTTTGGGACGGTATCAGTATTCTGATTTTGATGCCCACCCCTATCAGCAACAACAGCTAAACCCACTAAGGCCACGAGACCAATAATAACAAGATCAAGAAAGAGAAGAAAAAAAAACTAATCCAAACCAGGAACAGTAACACAGAACTTCTCCACAAAACCAAATTAAAACGCTTCACCCATCGGAGGACAAGGTAATCCATCCGAGGTCAGAACATGAACAAGGGACGCCAGTGGCTTGTTGGCCAAACACTCTGGTTCCACCACCCCAAAGCCAATCTCTCTCTCTCTCTCTCTCAATTCGTGAGTTATAGGTGTTTGGGAAATATTTCATTAGTACAAACTCTATACCCCTTTGCCTGTAGATTCAAAACCAACAAATTGGAATCTTTTCATGCGCATCTGGTTATGTCTCAAATGGATCTCAGCACTTATTATTGGTATTACGAGACCCTTTCAATGTTTGTACTTGTTTTGTGCAAAGCCGCACAGAGAGAGAGAGAGAGAGAGAGAGAGGGAGAGAGAGAGTGATTTTGGGTGGGAGGCGATGAGAAGATGGTGGGGTGCTAGGGTTTGGGGAAGAGGATAAGGGCTGTTGGGGATGGGTGGGTTCTTTCGAAGAGAGAGGTGGGAGAAGAGATGAATTTTTAATTTTAAAGATTTTTCCTTTGTTAAATTTTACATTTTACATTTAAGTTAATTATTTTAAATATTAAATATTTTTTCCTAAGTCTTTAGAAGTAATTTTATAAATGGGTAAAGTTGTCTTTAAAATTTTGAGGATAAGATGAGTGGAGAAATAGGAGGTGAAAATAGCTGCACTCTATGCTGGGTCTGATTTGATTGAGTATAATTTCAACGCGGAAAACAAACAACACATGGGCAGGCATAAGCCTACAACTAGAAGCAACATATTTCTTCACCATTTTGCTGATTTTGTTGCTAGTTTTGGGGCCAATTATAAAGCTCTCAAACTAACACCAACCATATCCCATTCTAATGCAATTTCTCATCAATCCTATGCTTTTGTTTACTCAAATTTTTTGAGGGGGCTACACAACACTGATAAATAAATGTAAGATTCTAGTGAAATTTATAAATCACTCAAAATACTGTATTAGTAACCATGCCAAAATTAACAAAATCATGTGAAAGATCATTATATATTGATCATTGACCTTACAAGATGGTGTATTAATACTTGGCACAATAAGTTAACGAATGCAAAATTAATTCTCACGTGTTACTCATCTTGTTGGTATCACGTGAACGAAAAGTTTCCACACAAGTTTGTCACTTCCATACTCATCGCATTGGTAGGCCCTTTCAAAATATTTGCATACACAACTAACTCTTAATTTAGTGATATTCCCTCTACTCAAAAATAAAAAGTCCCAAGTTCAAAATCTCTCACGCTTAATTTGCATGGACCAATTCTCCTTTGATGGGTTTGGGTCAAATTTGTGATTGTTTTGGAATGTTGTAGAGAGCAGCCTGCAAAGCCTGCACAAAATGGCAAATGGTTGATTAAGGAAACTCCTAGTGTCTCCATTGCACATGAAGTCACTCAAGAACCATGTCCGTGGTCGTCTTCCATTCCAAACTATAAAAAAGAAATCAACCCAAAAGGCATTTCTTAAACAACAATTTTAACCCTAAACCATATTAACAAATAAATTTGTTTCACAGCACAACCTCTTTGGCTCCATCCTTCCAATCCAATCCCCCACCCAAGTCAGTAAGCCACTGTCACATGACACAATGAAGAAAAATATGGACGTCTTCATGAAAGTTGCCCAGAGACAAAGTCAACTCTATCATGCTGCCAGGCAACAACTCTTGTCTTTTTCCCTCAAAATTATTTCCATTTGGTCACACTCGGCCCTCTCTCTCCTCACACAGAATATCAGATCATCCACATCACTCTTCAATCCAACGGCTTGGGCACCAGCTTTGACCAAATTGAAACTCTGATAAGACTAAAGCAGGGCAGGTCAATGTTAATCCGACACCAAGCATCAAACCCTCATTAGTTTAACAATTTAAACAGCAAAAAAGAAGAAAAACAAATTGTAAATATTCGTGCACTGCCAAAAGCAAAGCTGCTGCTGCTGCTGCTGCTGTTTCAATTGTGTGGTGTGGTTGGATCTTATTCGCAACTACATCTTGACGGCAAGTGCTAGTGGGCCACCAGATATAGATGCCATCATTTTGACCATAGACGCATTACAACAAACACTTCATAGGCAACCCTTTATCAACACCCCTTCTTCAATTTCTTTTACGCTTTTCTTTCTGCTTTGGCTTTCTCTCTCTCTCTCTTAGCTTTTTTCTCTTTGGTTCTCTGTTTGGGCTCTTTTTCTCTTGTTATGCTGAAGAGGGTCAGAGATGGCTGTAGATTTTATGGGATATAGGAACAGCAGCTTCTCTGCGAAATTGGAAGAGAACGCGGTGCAAGAAGCAGCTTCTGGGCTCGAGAGCGTTGAGAAGCTCATTAGACTCTTGTCTCAGGCTCAGCAGAACCAGCACCAAGATAAGTACCCTTCCATGGTTATGGACATGGATTGCAGAGCCGTCGCGGACGTCGCCGTTTCCAAGTTCAAGAAGGTCATTTCTCTTCTGGGTCGTACCCGGACCGGCCATGCCCGCTTCCGGCGAGCACCTTTGACTTTAACTTCTGGGTCTTCTTCTTCTTCTCAAAACCAAGCCCAAACCCAAGAGACCTTCGTCAAGCAAACTCCTTTAGAGTCCACCAAGGTTTACCATGCGACGCCGATCCAGCAGATCCCGCCTCCTCTGCATCATCACAGTACTGTGCTTGAGAGCACCAAGGACTCCTCCACCACTATAAATTTCTCCTATTCAGCTACGACTTCGTTTATGTCGTCGTTGACTGGAGACTCAGACAGCAAGCAGCCATTGTCATCTTCGGCTTTTCAAATTACCAACATGTCCCAGGTGTCTTCAGCTGGAAAGCCACCGCTTTCGTCAGCTTCGTTGAAGAGGAAGTGCAGTTCTGATAACTTGGGCTCTGGCAAGTGCGGTGCTGGGTCCTCCGGCCGCTGCCATTGCTCTAAGAAGAGGTGGGTCCCTCTCTATCTCTTAATCAATGTCTACGTTCTAATTAATTCGATTTAGTTGTTGGTCGAGTTTAACTTGTCGACTAAAATGAAATTTTGGGTTGTGGGGTTTGTTGCAGAAAGCTGAGATTGAAAAGGGTTGTGAGAGTTCCAGCTATAAGCTTAAAGATGGCTGATATTCCACCTGATGATTACTCTTGGAGAAAGTATGGACAGAAACCCATTAAGGGATCTCCACATCCAAGGTATAATCTTGGAAAGTTTTGACCTTTCAAGTTCAATTAGTTCAATTTCACACTTTCGTCTGCCTAAAACTCTGAAATAGCAAAACCCTTTTAGGCTTTCAGGATTTGAGATGTTTTGGTCTTGTTTTAATCTGTGTTTTGGTTGTTTTTTATGAAACAGGGGATACTATAAGTGCAGCAGTGTCAGAGGGTGCCCAGCTCGAAAACATGTAGAGAGAGCTCTCGATGATCCAGCAATGCTTGTAGTGACCTATGAAGGCGAGCACAATCACTCTCTCTCAGTTGCAGAGACCTCCAATCTCATTCTAGAATCGTCTTAGATCATCAAAAAACAGAAACAACAATGGTGCAAGAAAAAGCCTTTGTATGTTCATCTTTTTCTAGAGAGAGAAATTAATGGGTAGCAGAGCAGTACTAGTAGTAGTGCTAGTACTGACAGTAGTTACAGTTCCGGCTGGACTCGGACTTGGACTCCGACTCAGTAAAGACTCAGTTCCATCTCGAAGGAGATGAGAGTGAGTTAAATTAGTTCATTTTGCTGTACAATATGGGGTTCCTTTTTCTCTCTTCAAACACTGTGAATTAATCTTATTCTTATTTAAACCAGAAAGAAATGAGGATGGTGGATTTGGTATTATTTAGTGATTAGTCTAGTTGGTTTCTTTCCCATTGGGAAAAAAGAAAAAAAGAATGGAAAGGGGAAAGTGGGTGTTGTTGGGTTCTTCTTCCTTCCTAGTAGATAATTTTTAATTTTAATTTTCTCGATTGATTGATTGCTTGCTTGCTTTTACTTTGGTTCTTGTCTTGGATGCCTACCTTCTACTTTTCCTTTCATCACCCCAAAGTTTTCTACTTTTTCTTTTGATTTGATTCAATACAAACAGTGAAAGGAGAGAAATTTATAGATATGAAAGGGACTGGGTCAAAGAATTGTAAAGAAGTGGACCAACATGTCGTATTTGTGACGGTTGACCGAAGGGACTTGTGGGGTTGGCAGTTGGCCAGTTGGAAACGGCTAATTTACTGAAGGTGGGTATTGGGTGATTGATGACTTTTTTTTTCAAATGCAATTTTGTTGGTTCTTCTTTGGTCTCTTGGGAGAGAGAAAAAATATATTAAAGGTTGGCTGAATTTGGAGGGAATTGAAAGACAAGAAGAGATAGTTGGCCTACAAAAGGCATCAAAGTCTTTGGAGGCAAAGGTGTGGAAGCCTTTGATGTGGTAGGAAAATTAATGACCAAGTCAAAGTTTGTGGGTGGGCATTAATTTTTCTTTTCTTGTCTGCTTTGCTACTTCCTTTGCCTCAAAGCCAGATCTAGTAGGAAAATTAATGCTCAAGTCAAATTTTGTGGGTGCGCAATTCATCATTTTGACCAATTATGGGGCCCTTTAATGGCTGTGCACTAATTTGTTTTTGTTTGCCTTTGGCTGAAAAATCAAAACTTGGTATGTAAGTATGGTCCCCAAGGTGCGCTATCCTTATCAAAATTCATCATTCACATGTGGCTTCCTCAAATGCACAAAGTTCAATCCCATAAAAAACAAATACACGTTCATTGGTATTCAACTTATCATGACAAAACGGAAATGATACTGGTTACTCCTCTTTTTTCCTTAATACGAATCATAGTTTCACACATATAAAAAACATAAAAATAAAAACTTTTACACACATCGCATTGTTATTGACAGGAATGTAGAAATTCTTTCTTACATGGTAAGGAGGGAGCTCCAAAATAAAGAGAATATAATCATAACAAATTTTCCTTTTTCGTACAACTGAAATTATTAAATGGTAAGGAGGGAGCTCCAAAATAAAGAGAATATAATCATAACAAATTTTCCTTTTCGTACAACCAAAATTAATAGAGAGTAAACTCGACACAATACCTCGAATGCATTGGTGAATGTTCTTAATAACTTAAGCAGTGAGTTGCTTGCTACGATTAAGGATAAAACTATTTAGAAGAGAGAATTGTTTTCATTGCTTTTTTTATATATATGAAGTTTAGGTCAATAAAAGGATGGCTTAAACATAACGTTCTTGTTAATGCCATTTTTCAAGGAAAAACACTGACTTTCGACATAAGGGTAAGAATTACTAGGATAAAACTATTTAGAAGAGATTGTAGAATTGTTTTCATTGCTTTTTTATATATATATGAAGTTTAGGTCAATAAAAGGATTGCTTAAACATAACGTTCTTGTTAATGCCATTTTTCAAGGAAAAACAATGACTTTCGACATAAGGGTAATAATTACTTAAGTTGTTCTGCTATTTGTATAAGGTCTAGACTTGACTTCCCCGACAATGGGGAATTTATCCAGTTGAAAAGTCGAATATGGGGAAAGTAATGTGGAACTTGTACAAAACTTGCATCGATAGAGTGTGATTATTGCATATTTACGGAAGTCAAGCCTTGGTCTCTTCAAACCCCATACTTTTATAATCATAGGTCTATACGCATCCAAATGAATTCAGAATTCAACATAGTGTTCTATTGCGAAAAATAAAATAAACTAGCATTGGAATGACCTCATTCGGAATTTAGTGAAAAGTAAATAAGACTCCGGAAAAGGATTTCGTATTTTATATTTTTATACAAGCGATACTAGGGAAGTGTCGCCTCATCTTCCTCATTGTTTAATCTTAAAATTATTTATTGTTCACATTGTGCAAATGGGTATCAAAGTGGCAGCCCAAATTAAGGCCCAAGTTGATCACTAGAATGGGCTTTGATGGGCTTAACTCACCAAAACGCCATGTCGTACAGCCTTAGCTTTAAGCCTCTGCGTGCGAACAATTCGATTCGAACCCGTACGCAATTCACAGTGTCGTCTACTGAGTAGCGTAGCAATCGTCGTCCCATCTACAACCAAAGGCGGCGATGGGCTGCTTCTCCTCCATCCCCATCGTCCGCTCATGAGATTCAAAATTCCCAATCTGCCCCTCCTCTCTCCCAAAACCCTAAATCCTCTCACACCCAATCCTCACATGGCCTCCCTTCTCACCGCACCCGAAGCCCAAGCCCGGAATCTCCATTCGGACCCAACGCGAGACCTCGACGACGTCCTCTGCTCCGACCAACACCAGCAACAAGAAGAACAACAGAAGACTTTTGCCGATACGGCGCCGTCTCGCTGCTTGAGCGGCGAGTCGCGTATCGAGCGAGCATGGGCTCACTGGTCGAAGCTGGGCCGGCCCAAATTGATCGTGGCTCCAATGGTGGACAACTCGGAGCTCCCGTTTCGGATGCTCTGCCGCAAGTACGGCGCCGACGCTGCGTACACGCCCATGCTGCACTCTCGCATTTTCACTGAGAGTGAGAAGTATAGAGACCAGGAATTTACCACTTGCAAGGTAACAGTGTTTGAATTTGGTGATGAAGATAGCAATGTTTCATTGGTTGGTGGGTTTGATTTTTTATAGTGTTGCAGGAGGACCGTCCTTTATTTGTTCAATTCTGTGCTAATGATCCTGAAGTTTTGTTGGAGGCTGCGAAGAGAGTGGAGCCTTATTGTGATTATGTTGACATTAATTTGGGGTAATTCTTTGTTTAATTTCTTTTATTTATAAAGTTACCATCTTTGTTCAAATGGGATTGTATTAATACAAGACTTGTGCTTTAAATTTAGTGTTAGTGGGTAGCTAACAAACTGGGAAATGTTCAAATGTTGAAGTGAATTCGTGTTTGCATGTGCCAAACTAGCTTGAGAACGTTGCACACTAACACCTATTTTAAATTCTTGAATACCCTTTGATTTATTGTGGGGTTTATGGATTGAAAGCCTCAAATCATTGAGTTAGTGTGAATTTTTGTTCAGGTGTCCTCAGCGTATTGCTAGGCGGGGGAATTATGGAGCTTTTCTAATGGATAACCTTCCTCTTATAAAATCTCTAGTAGAAAACTTGGTTCAAAACCTTCATGTCCCCGTTTCATGCAAAGTCCGCATCTTTCCGGATTTACAAGATACAATCAAGTATGCTAAGATGTTAGAGGATGCTGGTTGCTCACTTTTAGCCGTCCATGGCCGGACAAGAGATGAGAAAGACCAGAAGAAAGTCCGGGCGAACTGGGACGCCATCAAGGCTGTCAAAAATTCTCTCAGAATCCCCGTCCTTGCCAATGGAAACATCAGGCACATGGATGATGTTCACGACTGTTTGGAAGCAACTGGTGCTGATGGGGTGCTTTCTGCGGAATCTCTTCTTGAGAATCCAGCTCTTTTTGCTGGATTTCGAACTGCCCAATGGGTACCAGGGAATGAAGAAAGCAAGAAAGATGGGAAACTGAACCAGGCAGATCTTTTGGTGGAGTATTTGAAGCTTTGTGAGCAATACCCTGTGCCTTGGCGTATGATCCGTGCTCATGTGCACAAGATGCTGGGAGAGTGGTTTCGAATTCATCCACATATAAGGGAAGATCTCAATGCACAATCCATACTTACTTTTGAATTCCTTTACAGTATCGTAGATCGGCTTAGAGAGCTTGGGGCAGGTATTCCACTTCATCTTAAAGAGACAAATGCTGCAACTATTTGTGCGAATGGTTTGGCTAATTGAACTGTGATACTGGTTGAATGAGGTGTTGTTTCAGATATAGGAGTCTTGCCAAAATCAGAATTAAGAATCTAGTTTTCCGTTAGGTTTTTGTTATCATTTTCGAGTTTTGTAATGTTAGGTTTCGTGGCTCTTATTTAATTTTAATTCAACTGATATAAACTGATATAGGAGGAGATGAAGAGCGTCTATTTATTTACCATACTACATTCTTTTGTGGTGATGATTTAGTGTATTTGAGTCTGGCCCCTGAAAGGAAAGGGAGAAACCTCAATTGAATTAACATCCCGTTGTGGGAGAAGGGTATTGATTCTCTGTATTTCGACTCAATTTGTGGAATGTCTTGTATGATTGTTGTAGCCTGTACTCTTTCAGTTTGGCCTCTGGGTTTGTTTATATGTTGTATTTAGTGTATGATCAAGTTCGGGGGACCAAAATGAAGACTTGTTCAATTCAATCCCTACTAAATAGAATGCCACAATCTACGCGGGTGGTCGTCGCCATTCAACATTACCGTACCCATTCAACGTTACCAATTTCAAAACTAGTTTCACTGCGAATGACCATTTGGTCGAGTGTCATTTCGTTGTCCAGTTTGTTTGAGTAGGTATTAAGTTCAAATCTCATGACAACAAATATGAACCCAAAGAATATTTTCTTAAAAGAAACCGAGAAGAAAACTAGTTTCACCAAATTACCCGAGCTCATTGACTCGATACAATAATGACTTATTGTTTTATACACTAAATTTCAACTAATAAACGAAGTTTGTTTGGACTTTTTTAACCAAATGTTCTCCGTAAACAGCTCTTTCAAATTTCTTAGCTCCAGTTGTCCTCTCTTTACAAATATCCAGAGGCTCCACTGCTGTATCGAAATTTGTCTGTTCACGCAACAAAAGCATTTGGAGGGAGATCAGCAGCGAAAGATTAATAACAGCCAAGAGAAGGCTAAAATTGAAGGAACGTGTGTAAAACACAATACATAAATGAAGAAGAGGAAAGGACGAGTGAATAAATAAACAGGCAATCTTCACACCTCATAGAAATATGCCACACAGACCCGGTATTTTGGGGAGGAGTTGATAACTTGATGCAAAGTGGACTCATATAAACCATTTGAGTAAATCTGCACTTATTTCAGAGATGAGAATGACTTGGTACTAAATCCAGGTGTTGGTATAGAAATTAGGAAGAATTAATTGCACAGATTAATATTACCTTTAACATGTCTCCAATATTGCAGACAAATGTTCCGGGAACAGGAGGAGCTGATATCCACTCGCCCGAACGGTTTCTCACCTTCAATAAGTCATTGAACTCAACTGTTGTGGAAACTAGAGTAGAAGGATACAAACAGAACATAGTCTAGAAATGGAAATTTCTCTTCGCTTTGTAAAGAACACTTCGCACAAAGACTGCGTCTTTTACTTGGCCTCAAGCCGTTGCTTACTGATACATAAATGAAACGGAGTGTTAATCAGATTACCTGAAGTGCAGTTATATCGTCATCCTGATTAACCAATGTCAACAAACCTGCAATGGAACAACATTAGATGATATTGATTTATTGATTTTCTACGCTTCGCATATCTAAGAGTGAAGTAACTTTACCATAATCAGTGTGAGCTCCACTGGAAATGTTCGACCGAAGGAACAAAAGAAGAGCAACGGGTAAAAGAAAAAGAAAGAACATCACTTTATGTACCCAAATGTTAAGGGAAAAGTGCAAGCACAAAAGGCAGTAATATTGCCTTACCATCCAACGTCCTTTGGAATGTCTGAGCCATTAGCAGAGTGTACACCCGGGTAACCAATGAGCCGCATCACCCAAAATGCATTTCCAGCTCTTTCACCTTCAAATTCATATGGTGAACCACCCAGTGCTAAAGCGATTCCACGCATTATATTTCTTGAAAGTTCTGAAAGCAACAAGAAACAAAAGTTATAACTAGAAGAGTATGAAAGGGTAAACAAGGGAAGAAAGCTTAGTTGCCATGGAAAGCATGCCTGTGCAGAGGCTAACATATTCCTCCATCAGCATCTTGAAGTTTGTGGGCTGAATTGGCCTGCAGAAAGGATCATAAGACAAAACAAACAAATCCAGTAACATCAGGTAAGCATTCCATAAAAAATCCTATAACAAGCTTGAAACAAGTAGCAAAAAGGAGATGCTTAATATGAATCTGATAGTCACAATCTAATCATTTGCTAGCTGATCCGCAACCATGTTTGCCTCAAGGAAAATATGGGAAATTTTACTTTTGATAACTTGTCCAAAAGCTTCCATATGTCTTATGCAATTGATTGGATACTCCAAGGTAATTGAGTTTTTTTTTTATTTTTAGTGATTTGTAATTTTGTATAAGTATTTTAGAATCTCTTTCTATTTTACCTTTGAAAATTTCATGCGGCTAGCCCAAATTAAAGCTTGCTTTAAGACCATTGCTTCAGCTTGTAAAACAGAGGTGTATTCTAGTGGCTGTGATCGTGCAATATAACTGGTTTCTTGTCTGAGTTTCGAATGATAAAACCTATAGTAGAATTTTCATTAGTGTAAAATTTCATAGAGACAGGTCAGCGGTAGCAATGACCAGCACATAATGGGTCACACGTGAAGCTAAGTCTACATCTGAGTCAATTATTCAAGCCTAACACGTGAACACCACGTATTGGGTAAATGTAAACATTCAAGCCCAGCATGTGAACACTACATATTGGGTAAGGGTAAAGGCTCAATTCAGGCCCAATCAATCAACCCGCTCTGATGCCGTGTAAAATTTCAAAGAGACAGGTCAACGGCTCACTACTAGCAATACCGATATTGTCTCTAACTTAACCACCTACAAAGCCCAATATGTGTAGGGTTTTATCACAAAAGGTCTCGGTAATATTAGTAGTGGAACCGTTCGTTATATATTATATTTTATTTAGTCAAGTTTCCGATGTGGAACTTATATTCTTCAACAATTAGCTATAACACAATTTTTTTGCCATGGCCTTGTTGCTTGCATTCATTATTTTTTACTTATTTACATAAAACCTACATCCTATAAACTTACCAACCCACGGCTGAGTTTGTAGGCTTTTTCGAAGTTTGTTTATAAACTTTTACAGGTCAATTGGCCTCCTTTGTCCCGAGATGCATCCGCCCTGCCTGTCGATGTCTACAAGCTTAAATGGGTCAGGCTCAAGGCCAACCTAAGCCCAATTTTTTTGATTGAGTCCAAAACTGGAGTCATTCTATAGTGAGGATCTAAGGTCCTTCGATGAGATTTTATTTATTAACTGTTAAATTAAATTAACCAATTGGATCCAACGAACGGCTAATCAATTTTATCAAATGATTAAGAGATAGGGTCTTGTCTGATAGCTAAGCCCTCACTATAAAATTCTTGTCCAAAGGTGACCCTTCGAAAGTCTGTAATGTACTGGACATGGCATGTTCTTGTTTTTTTTGTTTTTTTGTCGGAAGCTGGAACGAATCGAAT